AAGTGAACTTCGCTTTATTGTGCCATCCCAAAGAGGCACAAAATCACTTTCATGGACTTTTAAATTAAATGTTCCCTCCTGGTGGAATGACCTGCCCAACTCAATCCGAGCAGTCCTTAGCCATCTTCAAGAATCGGCTAAAACAGATCTCTTCCATCTTTATTTGACCCTCTAACGCTAGCACTCTCTATTCTAATTCTATTCTTTAAAAAAAAACTTGCTCCTTTTAGACTTAAGCACTCTATTCATTTATGCTTGTTTTCTTTAAAAAGAAAAAACTAACACTACTGTAGCTTCTCTGTTCTTTTTGTATTCTATCTATTTGATTTCTTTTTATTTATTCTATTAACAAAAAGCAAAAAAAGGCCTCTAAACCTAGCTTGCTATATTCTTTTTCTATTCTATCTTTTTTAAAATTATTATTATATAATTAAAAAAAAAAACTTTGTGTGTACTGCATTAGGCTAACTGAGACTTGTCATAGCACTTGTATATCATTGCTCTTTTGTTGATTTTGATTGCTTCCATTGTCCTCATTTGTAAGTCGCTTTGGATAAAAGCATCTGCCAAATGACTAAATGTAAATGTAATGTGAATGAATGTGCAAGACTTCCGGTGTACAAAAGCACTCTCATCCTGCTTGATGTTACAAATGCCTATTTGTTACAACAGACTAAATATATTTTAAAAAAGTTACAATAATCTTTATTATCGTAATTAAAAATACACTGGCTTGTAGTGCAAATAGTTTTACTGTTTACGGCACTTTGTTATTCCTCACCTATACCGGCTAATGTATCGGAAGCTTCGCACAAAATAGCCTACTTCCACGTTGAAAAGTAAGGTGGATAAAAATGTGTAGTGTCGTAAATAAACCATTATTTTTTAGGCCTACCTGTCACAAAATTTCTGTTGTTAAACAGCGACGTTTTGTAGCAAAAAAAAAAAAAACTATCTACAAAATTAATGTCATGCAGCCAAATGACAGCCTTATCAAATTATCAAATATATCAAATTGATATATGACAGCACGGATACATCATCTACTTTCAAACAGGTGTGATTTTTGACCTTTCCAAGATGGCTTGTGAAAATCCCATAACTTGAGAAAAGTTAGATTGTATTTTATCTAAAACTGTAAATCCCGGTCCTGTTAACTACCCATTCAATGATATGTGGAACTGATTTGTTAGATAAAAAAATGCAATAATATTCATATCAGAAGAACGTTACTTTCTATTAGCAGTATTTCCAGAATAGGGCTGTGCCTTTACAGCTCGTTCCTCAGATACTCTGCTAAAAAAACATCTGTATGGTTTTGATTATCATGTCTGTCATGCTGAAATCATGTGTTTTAAACTATATTAGTTTAAACTTCTGATATACGGTTTCCGAATCACGTGCACTGAAAGCAGCTGGCACACGGCAGGACTAAACTGAGTTCTCTTTCATGTATTATTGCGCTTAAACTGTCAAATACACACAAATTTATGTTAAAAACACACACGAGTTACAAAAGCAGTTGATTATGTCTGTGAAGGTAAACAGCTGGGAAAAAAATTATGTGTTTATACTAAATCTGTGTGGCAGCAGTGTAATATACAGTAAATAAATCAATAAATCCACTGCTCTCTTGTCTCCTCTGAGCTGGGACTCTAAATAATGTTCTGTACTCGTCTGTGCTGCCAAAGACAGAACAGTTAGAATGCTTTGCTCGAACTTTCACCGTGGCGTGAACTGGTATACCATTGTCGCTTGCAAAAATACAATGGCAGCACTGTGGGTGGAAATGTGCAGATTAAGGGGCGGTACTACTTTCTACATCACAGGGGGAGCGAAATCTGAACGGCTCTTTTTTTTTTTTTACTGGATTGTTGTTATTTTTCACATTTTATTGGTTGGTAGATGCACCTGGGACCTAAGCACTTAAACAAGATTTTTATTTTTATTTTTATTTTTTAGATTTTCATGATATGTCACCCTTCAATTTTGATTTTTACATCTTTTAATAACCGTATTGATATTACAGAAGACATACTCCTGGTTCTGCTCTTCTAGATAATGCTGTTAAAATCGTGTGCTTGCTTGGAAAAGGTCATATCCACAAGTCTAAAGTTACAACTTCTAATCCAAATTTTATTGTATTTTTCTCTGAATTAAAACGTGGCTGATCCCTGTGTAAATAAAAAGATCATTGAGTCTTCTGTTAGAGATACAATTAGCCTATTAGGTGTATTTTTTCCCTTGAGTCGAAAGAAAAATAAAACATATATTTTTTTGTATAGGCCTACTTTTATTTATTTATTTATTTATTTAGTCATTTAGCAGATGCTTTTATCCAAAGCGACTTACAAATGAGGACAATAAAAGCAGTCAAAACTAACAAAAAGCCTACTTATATGTTTATATGTCTTTGTTAATAATCTAAATCCCTCACAACAAATTAATTGTTCTTACTCATTGTTAATTCCATTTGTCATTGTATTTTAACAATCTGTATTTCAATTTCAGATGTTACTTGCAAGATGTAAAAAAAAAAGACCTTTCCAAGACGGCGGCTTGTACCCAGATGTACCCAGGAGCACCTCTGATGTCAAATATTTTTAATTTCTCTCTGATTTGATTTAATCTTCTTTGTTTAATGGCTGGTTACAAACTTAATTTGATTCCTAATTTTAAGTTATTCATAATTATCTAAAACAAACTAAAATAAAAGAACTCTGGTTTGAATTATTTACACTTGTAGGAATTTTATCATTATAATGTGGAACTAAATGGGCTCAACCCAGGATGTCATAATACGCCGCTGGTGATCAGGTAGACTACATAAACACGTTGCTGACAATAAATATCGAGCTCACTGCGCCCTCTAGAGTAGACGACCGGTTAGACGACCGCTATTCGCCGCGGCGATCAAGCTGTGAATCTGCGGCTGCTGCTGGTGGTTGATACGTCCACTGTAACGTCAAAATGCTGGCTGACGAGATCCGAGAGCAGAAAACCAGCATGGTTGAGTGAGGATGAGACTGCCCAGCTCTGTCCTTGTGTCGGTCTCTTTGTTTACGGCCGAGACGACGGCTGCTCTGTATCTGAGCAGCACTTATCGCTCCGCTGGTGATCAGATTTGGCAGTGCTTCACGCTGCTCTTCACGCTTGTGCCATCCGTGCTGGTGCAGCTCACACTGATCTTTATTCACAGAGACCTGAGCAGAGACAGACCTCTAGTGCTGCTGCTTCATATATTACAACTTGGGCCAATAATAAGGTGAGTGGCCAATTTGCGATTCTTCTTCAATGTAACGTTATTTGGATGCATTTCTCCTTATCACAAGCCTGTGGAAGGGAATTATCCATCTACGTAGTGGATGAAGACATGAACAATGTCCATGATTGTGAGCGAATACACATAACGAAGGTGTTTTTTTGTTGTTGTTATTTTTTACTTATTATTGCGCACGCACATGAACCTGTGCTTTACCTGTTACAAATATTATGAATGTTTGTCGTTTAATTCATAGTCCACCGTGCGCAGTCATGTCAAAGGTTTCATGGTTTCAGGGCTCAAGGCTTCATGCCCCCGGGGCTTTCCATGAAACGCACACATTTCATTTCTGATAAGGTGCTTTTAAATAATTTTCTGTAAGCTGTAAACATTCTATTAGGCAAAAAATATAAGCTATATTTGGATATGCCTGTAGCTCTTAAAATAAGTGACAGTGATAATAGTTGCAGTTATTATCTTTTTACTCAAGGCCATGATATCGTATATCATGTATCATCGCAGTATGTTTATTAGAAACAGAATTTAATGCTTATAATATTACTGTGTCCATTTTTCATCAATTAATTATTTACTGTACAAATTAATGCTAATAAAAAGAGGCACTTCACAAGAAGTATAGATGATGTTGTGATATATGCACAATATTTTTCTTTCTTTGTTTATTTAATACTTAATTTTATGTTGTGAACCAATTATTATGTTCTCTGTTCTTGTGTTCTTGTAATGTCTTTAAAATTATGTTAGCTGGGATATATCACATAATGTTATTTATTTAATACTTAATTTTATGTTGTGAACCAATTATTATGTTCTCTGTTCTTGTGTTCGTGTAATGTCTTTAAAATTATGTTAGCTGGGATATATCACATAATGGGAATATAAATAATAGATTACATTATATATATATGTGTGTGTGTGTGTGTATATATATATTACACAAGCCATTTATGGACAATTTGTGTCCTCAAATCATCTATTAATGTGTTATTGACAGTTTCCTTTCCATTCCAGTCCAGGCCTCACAGTAAACTGTTCCATCTCTATCAGTCTCTGTGTGTTTTTGCATTGACCGATTGAAGCATTGATATGGCCTTTTCTAATAGTACAGTTTAGCAACATGACCTGGGCCAGCTCATTCAGATAAAGCCCAGCAATGTTTCAGACCTGTGTGATTTCATTGTTTATTTCACTGAATTAGTGTGAATGGCCTGTAAAGGCTGTCTTGGCCTTCTCTAGTCTTAACACACTGTCATCTGTCAAATTATCATCAAGGTTGCCTGCACCCTATTTTTGTAAAATAGCAAGGCTGTTGTCAAGGTTTGGGATAGGAAATACTCACTCAATGTTTGGCACCTACTACCTGTCCTGTGAGACCTAGCCTCTGCATTTTAAATGAATGAGATGGACAGATCGCCCACTGAGGCCTTACAAAAGCTGTCCTCGGATAAGCTAGAACTATGCTTTTGAGCTCTCACTGACATGGTCTATTGTGACATGGAGGGTGAATATAATTAGAATCCAACATTTATAGGACATTTGCAGCCAATCCAGTAACCCCCTAATATCATTATTTTTAATAATAAAAATGACCAAATGCAATATTATGTTATTTATTTCAACTATAATTTAAAAAAAAGTATAGAACAATTTTTATTTTATTTTATTTTATTTCCCAAGGCAATATATGGGACCCTGGACCACAAACCAATCTTAAGTAGCATGGGTATATTTGTGGCATTAGGCAAAAAAACATTGTATGGGTCAAAATGATCTATTTTTCTTTTATGCCAAAAATCATTAGGATATTAAGTAAAGATCATGTTCCATTAATATATTTTGTACTTTTCCTACCGTAAAGATATAAAAACATAATTTTTGTTTAGTAATATGCATTGCTAAGGACTTAATTTGGACAACTTTAAAGGGGATTTTCTCAATATTTAGATTTTCAAATAGTTGTATATCTCAACTAAATATTGTCCTATTCTAACTAACCATACATCAATGAAAAACTTAATTATTCAGCTTTCAGCAAATCTCAATTTCACAAAATTGACCCTTATGACTGGTGTTGTGGTCCTGGGTCACATATGTTATAAATAACCAAAGGCAATGCAGTTGTGTCTTTTGACTAATTTTTAAAGGTACAGAACTATTTATTTTATTTTATTAATAAAATATAACCAATGGCGATATGATATTTTAACTATAAAAAAATGTATAGAGCAAATAATCCACATTTAAATATAAATTAGTTTTAGAACACACACACACACACACACACACATATATATATATATTTTTTTTTTTTTAAACCTTGGCCACTCATATATTCAAACAATAAAACTCGGTTTTAATCCTTTAGGTGCTTGGATGCCTTCTGTATCTATGGCAGTGCCGGAAAGGTGGAGGAGCCGTATGTCACCATCACCCGTAAGAAGCAGATGCCCTGGGAAGGGCAGACCGAGGAGGTGGAGCAGGAAGTGGGCCAGGCAGAAGGGAAGTTAGTCACCCACAGGGCCGCTTTTGCCAGGACATCGGTCATACAGGCCTTCCTGGGCTCAGCACCCCAACTCACACTGCAACTCTACATCTGTGTGCTGCAGAAAGGGGTGTCCATCGGTAGAGGTGAGAACACACACACACACTAAGCAGTATCAAGTACATTCTGACACACCTAAAATAGAGCGCTGCAGGAGACAGACTAGGTTAATAAAGGCTTTTAGAGAAACTGAAAGCTTAGTGCCATAGTGTAATTGGCTTTATAACACGGTTCTCCGGAATACTTGATTCTGATTGATCAGTTTAGTGGTCAGATATTTCTGAATAAAGGCTGTTGCCAATGGCAACTGATCGCTTATCCGAGAAAGCTGTTTCCTACAAAGCTGTGCTTGTGTTTCCGTGCTTTCTAAGTAAGCTAATGAAACAATTTCCATTAATTAGCTATGTAATAATTGGGATAATGTACAGTCGGACAGTCGTTATCACAAAATAAGTCACTTCAAGGTGATACAAGATCCTAAAAACTCTTTATTTTGCCATAATGAGCGACTGACTGTATATCACTTACTATACATACCAGTCACAGTGACTAAAAAAAAAATCAAAATGTTCGACTATCACATTTTCAGAATGAGAACGACTTCTTAAATTGTCTTAAGGATTTCTAGAGCATGACTAAGACTTTTCTTATTCCTGCTTTGTTTTCGTTCTGTTATCTGGCCTTGTGAAGTACAACTCCCAAAGTGGAGCATTGCAAGCTTATGAGCTTATGACTTCCACGGTTAATGAGTTTTGTCATTTCTATAAAGTTTTAAATGTCAGGGAGAGCAGTTGGCTTTTTTATCATTGAGGCATGTCATGTTTCTGCCCAACCAGTATGATCTGTGCACAGTCTCTTTTGCACATTCTCTAAGTTTCCTCTATAGAATAATCTCTCTGTAAGTCCTGTAAACATGGAACTGCTCCCAACGTCACCCAACTAAATTTAACAAGCTCCCCTCAGTGACACATTCTACACACATGCTTGAGTTACATTGAATACTTCTGAAATGACTTCTAGTTGTGTACTATCTGTTTCTTCATGTTATCTCAAGGACGCACACTTTGTTTCAGAGAATATCAGCTAGAATAGATAATATGTTTTCAGACAGCATGTGCAGCCCTCAACAGACAGAATTTATTTATAAACTAGACCACAGATAAATTCATTTTGAAATACCAAGAACTGCTACACAACAATGAACAGTCACCGAAAATAACCAATAAAGAACATACATTGCCAATTGGCTGAGACTATGATACATTTTTCAAAACTTTTGTATTTTTTCAAACCTGGAAACCTGGATTATTATTATTTTTTATTATTATTTTAATTTATTATTTTTATTATTATTATTATTGTGAACCTGGGACTAAACAGAGTACAGTGTTTTTTTTAATAATTATTATTTTTGTTAACCTGAAAGTAAACAAAACGTCATAGGATTTCTTGTGAAAATAACTAAAACAACATATAATGCCAATATTCTGCCAAAATTGTGAAATTCATGTACATCTATTTAGACATTTCATCTAGATTGTTATGCTAATAATAATAATGAAAATGTAAAATGTGTATTTTATTACAAATGCAAGGTCTCTTTTGGACTGTTGGACTCCACTGTATATTGTAGACAGTTTAGGCATTTGCAAGCTGTTATTTGGTATAATTAGAGTTTTACTCTCCACCCATCAACTGTCACTCCACATTGAATATTAGGAATTATAGACCCGACTCTGCCTCGCAGATATGTAGTCATCTGCCCTGCATGAGGAATGTGTTGACAGCCTTGCGGTCCATCCTTGAAAGCAGTATTGGAGATCATAATGGATAGTGAATCAGTCTGACCCCATTACCCATGAGGCATAGAGTAATGAAACGGTGACTGACTTTAGATCAGATGGAAGGCTGATGGAGGCCATATGTTTGCACTGCTGGTGGATTTGGGCCTTCAGGGTATCTGCTTTTGATATCTTTTATTAAACAGTAGTAGTAAATAGTTAATTATGTAACCAAATGGCAACATATTATGCACCACAGTTATGGCGGCCCAAAACCAAATAAAAATAAATAAAGAAATAAATGATTTGCTAAAACAAATACAGTTCAATTTACATTGAATTTTGTCCTGAATTTATTTTTGTATTGCTTTTTTTTTTGCTATTTTCTTTATTTAATTTTTTTACTTAATTTGTGTATTTATTTTACATTTATTTATTCCCACATTTATTTATTTATACAGTTATTTATTATATGCAACATGGAAATGGGCTGGGTATAAATTTATTTATCTATTTATACTTTTTTCATTTTCATTCATTCATTCACTTATTTATTTATACATACTTTTTATACTATTTATTTGCTTTTATTTTTACAATTTTCATGCATTTATTTATTTCCATATTTATTTATTTATTTTTACATTTATTTATTTTAACTTTTTTATGTGCAACATGAAAGTGGGGAAGGTCATATATAGTCATGTATTTCTTTTTTCTTTCTTTGTCTTTCCTTGTTTAATTGTTTATTTATAATTTCTGCATGTTTGGGCCTCTATACACACTGGAGTGGTTTATTCAATATCCACTTATCTAATGCAAATGTTTGTTCAATTGCTCTTAACCACAAAGTATGTTTGGATTTAACTTGCTCATGTTTCATTCTTTTTGCTCTCTGCCAGGTACATTGATGGTCATTTCCCTTCTCTCGATTGTATACGGAGCCCTACGCTGCAATATTCTGGCCATAAAGATACGCTACGATGATTACGAAGTCTCCGTGCGTCCGTTGGCATACCTGTGCGTGTTCCTGTGGCGAGGGTTCGAGATCGCCACACGTGTGGCAGTACTGGTCCTCTTCAGCTCCGTGTTGAAGGTATGGGTGCTTCCGGTGGTGTCGGCCAACTTCATCCTGTTCTTTCTGCACCCGTGGGTTCTCTTCTGGAGCAGCCGCTCTCCTTTCCCGGAGAACATTGAGAAGACATTGACTCGTGTCGGGACCACTATTGTGCTTTGCATGTTGACCTTCCTGTATGCCGGCATTAACGTGTTCTGCTGGTCCGCCGTTCAGCTTAGATTGGATGACCCTGATCTGATCGATAAGGGTCAGGCATGGAGGCGCCTCGCTGTGTATTATTCCCTCCGTTTTGTCGAGAACACGGGGCTGATTTTGATGTGGTACGTCCACCGGACTGAGTTCTACCAATGGGTGGACGCTCCCGTGTTAGAACTGTCGCTGTTGTTGGGTTATGCCACAGCTGTTTTATTTATGTTGCTCTTTTACCAGTTTTGCCACCCTTGCAGACAACTCTTCTCATCCAGTCCAGCCCAAGGCTTTTGGGAATGCTGTGGATCCCTCTGCCTGCTTCTTGGGACGCTTTCCCAGCCGGGCTCCATGAGGACCAAGCCACCAGAGGAAGACACTGGAGACGATCCACCCTGCGTTACCAAAGGGGACATTGGACAGAGTTTGTGCGGCGCTGTGTGAGCAAAGCACAGCTTAAAGAAATAGTTCAACTAAAAATGACAATTCTGTCATCATTTACTCACCTTCATGTCATGCCTGTATGACTTTATTCTTCTTCAGAAGAAAGGTTTTTTTGAACTCCATTGACTTTTATTGCATAAACAAAGACAGTTGTCTTACATAAAATATCTTCTCTTGCATTCCACGGAAGGTATAAAGTAATTCGGAACCATTTGGAACATGAGGGTGAGGTAAAAAATGACAGAGTTTTCTTTTGTAGGTGAACTATCCCTATAAAAACACTGTAAGAAGTACCCTTTAAGGATCAAGAGGGAGAAATAAAATTAAAATGTTGGATTTCTGCCTTAATGGTGGCATGTAAAAGTCAACGTTTGTTGTACTTTGAGATGAATATACTTGTTCTTGTTTGGTTTACAAGGCAAAAGAGCCAGCATGTTCCACTGAAGTGCATGTGAAATTTCCTACCAAGATGAAACCGCTGCTTTTTTGTCATGTGACGTGGGAGCGCTCTGTCGGTGTTGGTTTGATTAATGTTATAGCTGTCTCTGTGTATGGATTATTTAAAGCAGAGTTATTTAAACGATTGTATTTAAGCTTTTGATTTTTCCATCACCTTGGAGGCATTGCTTTCTGAAAAATGTTTGACAACCTCTCAGGTTAATTATTAATACTTTCTTCTAGTTTTTCTTATTACTCTACTCATACTGTGTGTAAGACTGTGAAATTAGTCCTGATTGGTCATATTACAGTGTCCTATCATATGATAACATATGGCCTAAATTCAAGCAATTGCCTGAAGTTGCTTTAAAAATGTAAGGACATATGGATAGTGAGAGTCGGGTTGCCAGGACCTTCATAATCCTGCAAAGAATGATTTAATCAATTGTTTTTTCTTTTCTTTGTTTACACTCCTATTTTGCATTTGTCTCATCTGGAGACCTCTTTTGCACATTATTCTGATTTTTTCTACAAAATGTTACAAAAAAAAAAGTCATTATTTTCATTGAAGGCAGTAGATGATTGTATCCTAACTTTACTGCCCCCTGGTGGGGAGTTGAATGGTTTGAGGTTATTCATTTTGCAAGACTTTGTGATTGGGTTACATTTGGAAACTCCCTCAAAATATGTCCTTCAGCACTGCATAGAGCACACCATTGCTTTTGATACGTACAACTATCAGCTAAACCCATAATAAAGAATAAAATAAAGGAGAATGTTATTTTGTCCATGGTGGTACACACTGTTTATTGAACTTCTCCTGTTATTTATTTATTTATTTTTTAATTCTCATTGTATTTGCTGTGTGTTTTCTATGTGTGAGGTCAGTTGTCACTTTTTTGTAATTTTTTTTCTGAAAACCTCAATTAAAACCCATTTACAATATGCTCATGAGAAAGACAGTAACAAATGCATGAAACGTATTTAAATCATAAAACCATAACAGTTCTGACACTACAAAAACTAAGACTGAATGAATGACAGGCCTGACTATAAATCAGAAAGAGAACTGAGAGATTGTCTGACCATCCCCTTTTGGTTGAGGAACTTTGCTTGATGGTTTCTCATGGGCTCACAGTTGTGACACTATTTCCTGGTTTGCGTCTCTGCTTTATAAACCAAATCCCTTTTTGTCTTGTGGCTTTCTTCAAAATTGTTCATCCACACTTCTCTTGATCTTCTCTTTCTACACAGCACAACATCATGGGAAACTTTGCTGCAAATGAAGGACTGTCCATTTTTGTTATTGTAAGCTGTTGGAGTTATACTTTCTTAATTAAATTAACTTTTATCTTTATTTTATAGTCTTTGTATTTAAAGTTCTTAATTGCATTTGTGCATGTGTGTGTTTGGCACATTATGTTTTATTTGTTAAACATACTGAAGGACAGAGATACTCCTCATGCTTTATACTTATACTATATTTAGTCTGAAAATCGTCTCAGACGCTCTCCGTTGTGTTTTTCAGCTGGTATGGCTCGGCATCAATGTGTTTCTCTTTGTGCATTTTTACATGGCATTTTTGGTTGATAGATACTACTATACTAGAGTCATCCTTGGGGTAGGTGTCAAACAATTTATACATTTTAAACATTTAATTTATTCAATAATCTATAAATAGGATGAATATATTATTGTATTTTTTTATTATTGTAAATTATTATATTGATGTCATTGTGTTTTTTAAAAATGTATCCTGTATAATTCGTAATTGTAATAATTTGTGTAGTTACACTCCAGTGTTAATTATGTTAAATTATATTGTTAATCTAATTTCATATTTGTATATTGTATTAAGCTTTTTTCCCCTCTTTTTTAAAAGGTGTGCTAGACACTGATTTAAGCTTTTTTATTGTTCTCAGAATTTAGAAAAGTACAATTCTCATATGTAGGCCTATATATTGCTATACATTTTATCTGCAAGTACAGTTTTTAATGCATCAGTGAATATGTTGTTCAGAGCTTAAAATAGGAAATGAAACTTTCCCCTGTCTCTATGGCTCATTTTCTCATTCTCTCTCTCTCTCTCTCTCTCTCTCTCTCTTTCACTCAGCATGCTCTCTCATGGGCCAGAGCTCCAGCTGCATGTCTGAATTTTAACTGCATGTTGATCTTGCTGCCCGTCTGCAGAAACCTGCTCTCGTTCCTACGCGGATCCATACAGGTCAGGAAAAGCACAACAGAGCGAAAGTGAAAGACTTATCCACTTCAGGTAATGAAAGTGAAAAGGCCTGAATCTCCTCATTAATGGTGTGTGTGTGTGTGTGTTTGCAGTACTGTAGCCGCACTGCAGCCCGTCAGCTAGACAGAAACCTCACTTTCCACAAACTAGTGGCCTACATGATTGCCCTCCACACAGGTATAATAAGAAAGAATATTCATCTAGATTAAATCTTTTTCAATTTTCAAATCTTTCCTCAAACCCTACAATCTGAACTCAACGTTTTGCACACACTCTCAGAAAAAAGGTCAAATGTAACCTTAAGATACTAATATGTAACTTTTAGGGATAAATAAGGCCCAAACCCTTTGTACCTTTTGTAACTTTTTGTATGACCCCAGTGACAGCTTTGTACTGTTTTTCTCTTATATTTTATGGATGTAATTCTGTAAGCCTTGCTGATGATGTCTTGTATATTCTCCCAGCCATCCACATCATAGCTCACTTGTTCAACTTTGAGAGATTCATGGATTCCCAGTTTATGATCAACGGCAGTCACCTGCCTTATGTGCTTTCTCAGATTGGCAACAATGACAACAGATCCTACCTCAACCCTATCAGAACCAATGAGACGGTGAGGTTTTTACTCATTTCAGTCACACACGTTTCGTGTTTGAGTTACACAGTCTCGTTGTTAACAGAAGTCCCCATTAAAACTCTGTTTCTGAGGCAGCATCTTGTTCGTTATGCAAGGAACCTCCAACTGATCTCACTTCAGCCCTGTAGGATAACCTCCCACTTCCACCCACGGTTACATCACATAACCATCATGCTGCTGCCGCTGATGTGATCACATGATTTTAAAAATTCTGTTGCCATGGTTTTGCTATGATGACCTGGTGGACAATAGCCAGAAATAGAACAGGGAGAGAGAACAATCAACACACACATCCTATGACTGATATAAAAAGATCTACTATATTTATAGCTGCTTTTCTCTATATAGGCCTACACTACCATTTGGGATCGGGAATATTTTTGGAAAGAAGTGTCTTATGCCCACTTTATTTGATCAAGAATACAGTAAAAACAGTAATATTATGAAATAGGTTCATTACTTTAATGTAATTTATTGATAATATATTTAGTGATAATAGCCATTACTCCAGTCTTGATCCTTCAGAAATCATTTTAAAATGCAGATTTGGGGCTCAAGAAACACTTTATTACTAGCAGTTGTGAAAACAGCTGTGCTCCTTAACATTTTTGTGGAAACTGATTTTTTTTTTCTTCAGGATTCAGTTTAAAAGTTTAAAATAACAGCATTTATTTGAAATAGAAATCTTTTGTAACATTATAAATGGTCACTTTTGATTCATTTAATATGTCTTTGTTGAATAAAAGAAAAAAAAGTACTGACCCCAAACCTGTCAAAGGTAGTGTATATGAGACTGAAATTTAATCTAGATTTTTGCAGTCTACTTTATCTTTGTTTCTTTTTAGTGTAATGTTGCTTTTATTGTATGTTGCATGTTGAGTAATGTTTTATGTTGTCATTTTTGTGTTTTTGATTTCCCAGAACCCAACCATAGTGATGTTTACTACTATAGCAGGACTGACGGGGGTGGTCATCACCCTCGCCCTCATCCTCATCATCACTTCCTCCATGGAGGTCATCAGAAGGTCATATTTCGAGGTCTTCTGGTTCACCCATCATCTGTTCATCGTCTTTTTCATTGGTTTGGTGGCTCACGGAATTGGGTGAGGGTTTAGTTCAATTAATATTTGTATTTTGTATCAATTAATATTAATATTTTGAATTTTCTATACTTTCATTCAGCATTGATATGTTAAACATGATCAAATATGACAGTAGAGATGTGTTGGATCCAACTTGAAGTGGATTTGAGATTTTATATTTTAAATAAATGCAGTTCCTTTGAACTTTCTTTTCATCAAAGAATCTTGAAAAAATGTATCACAAATGTTTCCACACAAATATTAATCAGCTTAACTGATAATAGGAAATGTTTAATGAGCACCAAATTAGTATATTAGAATAATTTCTGAAGAATCATGTGAAACCAAACTTTTGTAATTGGTAGTGTATATACGTTATATCAACTTTTGTTATATACACTTTTGTTAACCAATAGCTACAGCCTAGCCAGCATGAAAGCACGCAAACTGCATCTGAATTAAATATACATATAATAATATGCAAAATGTGATTTAATCACTGAATCTACCGGATTTTAAAAATGTATTTGACAGGTGTCACTCACAGTGATTGGATGCGTCGCTTTTTCCTTTCATTTGTATGGTTTAAAGTTGAGCAATTCTCAACTTTGTTGTGCTCTCCGCTTTCTCAACTCCACTGTCAATACCAC